GTATAATTTTTAATTTAATTTAATTTATTCATATTACAGATGAAGAACCTCCTATATCTGAGCATTATTTAGAAGATGAAAGTATGTACCAACTAAATAATATATTTATTTTTTATTCATTAAAATATTTATGATTTTTTTTTTCAGATGAACCAGGAAAAATCAAGTTTCCTGAAAATCAGTAACTCCAGAACCAATGGTTAATATTACTCATTTACCATCTTACATGCATGATTTATTTAAATATTTATTTATTTCATAATATAAAATTATAAACAAATATTTAGTTATTTTAAAGTTAATAGTTTATCCATTCAATTGTATTTAGAATTAACATGCATTGTAAACATTATTTAATAGACCTTTGAAATAATGATTAGCATAAATAATGAAGAGCAATAATTCAAAAAATTATTGAAATATATTACAATTTAAGTAAATGGAAGGCACATTAAAATAACCTAACATATTTTAAATAAAAGTATAACACTTAAGCATTTTGAGGGTTATTAGTTCTTGAATATTAGTTTGTATATGTAGGTTAGGTGTATACCAATCAAAATTAGAACAAATTAAATGAAATATTTTAAGTACCTACATTATAAACATTATAATTATAACTAAATTACGTTATTTAACTGGAAATTATAAATATTTCGTAACTACATTATTTGAACTAATAAGTTGGTTTTGCAAAGACTGTACCGAATGTTAACATTTGCCTTAACATAACAAAACTTTTGTAATTTGGTGAGAAATAATATTTTGCACTTTATAATGCACAGTAATAGTAATTACTAATTCATTAATATATAGTAATATTATTTTGTGGGGTTGTCGAGTCAGAACAATCTGGAACGTATTAGTTCCGGAACTTCCTTTTTGGACAGGAACATGTACCAGAACTGAAGAAGATCTCTAATAAGGAGTATTAGCAGACAAATTGAAAACGAAAATATTAAAAATGCTCATTTTTTTCTTATTTTTGACGAATTTTTATGTTTATTATTATAAACAAGGGTTTAACCGCCGGAATCCAAACCGGAACGAACAGGCTTGTTTTTCCGAACCGTCAACCGGAGCCCGGAAGGTTTTTTTTTCGCTTGACCTGGAACTCGAATCGAACCAAAACAAAAACGAGAAACGGTTTTTGAACTGGACTTTTAATTTAAGCGTTCTGTTAAACAATATTAGCACAACGCCGTTGAAAATATGTTTTTGCTTTATATTGGAAACAATGGAAATTATTTATTATCAAAACAAATTCAAATGACTCACCCATGACTCGCCATATAACATGAGAAATTGTTTTTGAATCCAACAATTTATTAAAAACTGTAAAATATATCGAATCCTCTTTATCAACATTCATTTTGCAAATCTTATTGTCAGTTGAATCAGTTGAATTGTCCAAACAAAAAATGTCAATTAACACAACACTAAATACTCAAACTTATTTAATTTACACGTTACGGAATGGATTTTCCTTTCTCCAGAATAATATTAAAATAAAATATTATTTATTTATAATATATCCACATTATAAGAAATTATACCAGCGCGAATACGTTATTCGAAGAGGTTATTTAAAAAATGGCGATGCTAATGTCAAACTGGCGTTTTTTAATTGTTGGTACGTTGGTACTTTTGCATAAACAATGCTACCACAACAGCAACAAATTGAACATTAACCGCCATTAAGTACTATGTTTAAGTATATTATTTCATTTATTATTGTTATAATCTATGGTTTCATGAGTTGTGTTAACTCTGAGTCAAATCAGAAAATATATTGTGAGAAATCTAGACCAAAAGTATATAAAAATATATTTGTGTGTATACAAGGCCTGGTGGAAATAATTCGGTTGTCTTTCCATGTCAAAGGGTTATTTACAATTGGCAATTGGAAATATATTCCTGATTTATTCATTGAAGAGAACATGGAAATCACTACTGCTTGTATCATAATGGTAAATGGTTATAAATCTATGTAATGCTAATTGATAATTCTTAAGTTTGAATCCAATATTTTCAATCATTTGCATTACTTTTGGTACAACTACAATTTTTGAACTGTAATATTAATCAAGTTTTGGATTTGTATTATCAAATATTAATTATTTAATATAATTTAATTCTGCAAACATAATACAAATTATAATAAATTAAAAAATAAAAGAAAGTTAACTGAACGCATGTATTTCTTTTATCAAAGTTATTTCAAAGATGGTGCGACTGTTTCATTTATTGCAACTGTCAGTGAAAAATCAAAATACTTAACCAAAATATGAATCTCACGTGCTCAAACTTGTATATTGTGTTTATTAAATTATTGTGGACATATAATACAATAATTGCATAATATTTTCGATGTGTTAATTATGGACGACGAACTATCTCAAAATGATAGATCAGATAACACCGTGGAGCAAAATGATGTTCCTGTTATTATATCCAAAGAACAAATTGATTTTAAAAATAATTTAAGCTTAGTGAATGAAAATGTAGGCTACCATGATACAATAAATAATTCTATTCTAGCATATAAGAGAAATATATATCATTCATTTCAGCAAGGGAATACAGAATTTTCATCTGGTTTAAATTTACAAAATAATCAAGCGTCTAATCGTGAACTTTGTGAGACTAGTCAGCAAGCTCCTTGCATTACAACAGATTCATCTTCACTTAATCGAAACTTGCATGGATTAGCCAAGAATGAAATGTCGACTGTTTGTTTAGGTTTAACAAATCCACAGGATTGTAGTATTAAGATTCAAAACCCCCAAGCTTGTGATAATAATACACAAAGTATTGATATTAATTCCTCCAAAGTTCATGAAAATGTTATATTATCTTGTAGTCCTACATCACCAAAAAATCAGGAGCTTTCAGAAAATATATGTGATGATAGCATCATGGAAACACAAATTCAAGAAAATGTAGAAACAACTGTAAATGAGAATAGCGAACAGTTAACTAATGTCGATAATAATACAATTTGTAGTAAAATTCATGCAAAAGCAACTCTCTCAACTACTAGTATTATAGACAATGATACAGCAAGTAAATTTAATATTGAAAATAGTTTAAACAATAATGAAAAAAGCCATAATTCAGAAGAAAGTATTCAAAATAATATTGAAAGCATTGAAACTGATTTACAAAATGAACAACAAAATAATATTGAAGAAGCAATGGAAATTACAGAAAGCTCTTATGACATATTAACGAATAAATACTTTAGTGATAAAATTATTGAACTCTCTAGACTAGCCACTAATACTACTATAAGTAATCAAAATTACTTTCGTGGTTGCAAGTGGTCTCCGGATGGGACTTGTATTTTGTCAATAATAAATAATAAGGGTATGCAAGTCACAGAACTTCCTAGAGAATTATATTCTAATGAAAACGTGTCTACGGAAAGACCTGTTGATATTTTAACACCTGCTCTTCGTATCAAAGAAGCTGGTTTAGTTTATGATTTTGAATGGTATCCAAAAATGAATAGTTATGATCCTGCTACTTGTTGGTAAGAAACTAATTTCACTTTAAATCAATGATTGTTTTTAACTTGCAACATCGTTTGTAATTAATTTAATTACTGGATTCAAAAATTTTATATGAATTTTATTAGTACATAAAATACTGTGCTGGGCAATTATATTACTTTATAAGATTATTACAAAAAACTATTTCAGAAATAAAAATAATGTTAATGTTAAAATATTATTACAGAATATATTGAATTGCTGCAGTATACATAAGTAATTACATAATTAATCAATAGTATAATGGTATAAGTATTATTAATTTATTCAGAACTCAATTTTATTATGATTATTTCAATTTCAGTTGGATTACAAGCATTCAGCATGGACCGGTGCAGCTATGGGATGCTTTTGATGGATCTCTCCGCAGTTCATACCGGTTAGCTTTATAAATTAATAGTTAGTATTTTATGATGCATTTTATTCTGTGATCTGCAGATCACAATTTATTAACCATTCATCTACATATTCTTAGCTAAGTTTTTGTTGTATCAATTAGTAATTATCATTTGTTTCTTTATATAAATACATCCTTACAATTCTCAGAGGCTATAATGATGTGGATGAAGTTGAAGCTGCTTTATGTACGCGATTCAGTCCCAATGGAGATAATATATTTGCTGGATATAAAAAATCAATTAAGTTATTCGACACGGATAGGTAAATATTATATTATTATATAAGCATTACTTAGAATAAAATTTTAAAATATTTTTTGGAACCAGTCGAAAATGTTTATTTGTTATACTTATTTTTATATTTACACTAGATTCACCTTGTAATTGTAATAATAAAATTGCTTTCCAAAATGAACTGATTTATTAAATGTTTTAATTTCAGACCAGGGAGAGATTATCTAAATTTCCGAATTAAACAGCCAGCTAGTTGTTTAGCATTAAATAGTTTTGGTAATTTACTTGCTGTTGGATCATGGCATCGAACAGTAACTCTGATGTCTGTAAATAGTGGTGACTTGATTCAATTTGATACAATTTATGGCCACAAAGGTAAAACAATTTTAATCAATATATAAAAGATTATATTTAAGTAAAATTATTCCTTTGTCTTAAGGACTTGATAAATATTTGAATTATGTTCTTTTCTACTTATGTTTATATATCTCTCACACTAAGTTTACAATTGTTATTTTAATTTTTTAGGTGGCATTACACACTTAATGTTCATGGATGATTCTTCCAATTCCACAAATTATCTTTTATCGGGAGCACGAATGGATCCTACTTTATTTCTGTGGGATATTAGACAGACTATGAAACCTGTACGAACTTTTTGTAGACAAGTGATATCAAATCAAAGAATTTATTTTGATTTATCGCCATTTAATAATAATTGGCTAGTTAGTGCTAGTACAAGTGGCTTATTGAGAGTTTGGAATTTAAAAACTGAAAAAGAGTTTAAGGTAATATAAATAATTTAATTTTTCATGTATTATAATTTTTTAAACTTGATATAACTGTTAATTTTAAGAATTTTTCTTTGGTATTCCTATTACAACAATTGTTTGAGCCTAATGGAGGATTTTTAATTTTGGGTAGAATTTAAGTCATTGATTATGAAGACTATACTTTAATTTTTTGTTAATAATATTTTACAGAAGCACATATACATTC